CAGTATATCTTTAGTATGCAGCAGAACTCTTTAAAACTTTCTTCACATTAGCAATAAAGATGTAATGAAACTTCATTGTCTGTTAATGTATATGGTTTGCAGTGCGAAGGTGACGGGAAATTACGTAACACTGTGGGATTTTATTTTTAACATAAATGCGGGACAGGTTTCAGACTAATTGTGATGTGGCTGTATTTCCTTTAATATTGTAAGTTATGAGCTGGAAAGCTCTGTAAACAAATACTATCAAGAAATATTTTCTTTTGTTTTACTTTTGTTAACTGTGTATAGTATCACTCAAGAGGAAAGAAAAGAGGGGACGAACACTGGGAAGGAAGGCAGTAGCAGGTCAAATTTGAATGAAATGTATTACAGTAGAATCAAGAGAGCAGGAAGGTCAAGTTTTAATCATTTTCAGCTGTCTGTAAAGCGGGATCTGAGCTACATGCACGGCACTCGCAGCAGTATGGAAATGACCTTCAGAAAGGGAAGGCTTTTGACAAGGTTTCATCCCAGGCTGTTAGAGACAGCAAGCTGCTGGAGAAGAGGAATGGTTCAAAGATGGTTAAATAACTGATTAAAAGATAGGAAAGAGGAAGCAGGAATAAATCATCACATTTCATGGCAAAAAGAAATTGCCAGTGAAGTCTTGCAAAGATCTCTGCCTAGGCCTGGGCTTTACAGTGTACTCGTGACCTTTTTGGAAAAAGGGCTGCATAGAAATATGGCAAAGTTTGCAGATGCTGTTCAGAGTAGCAAAGATGACTGACTGAAGAATTATGGAAGGGTCTTACCTCACAAAGTGGCTGAATGATAAAATGGTACATGAAATTCAGTGCAGGAAATGTGAAGTAACAGATATGAGAGAAAACAGTCATTTTACACAACTACTGGGGACCACCAGTGTATAGCTATTGCTACTTGGAAGTAAGATCTTAGGGTTTTCATAGATCTTTAAAAATGTCAGCTTAATAGAGGTTAAAATTGTAGTTAATATCTTGGCAATTACTAGTCATCAAACAGAGAAGAAAATAAACCATTGTTAATCCATTAAATAATTAATACTTATAAATCTGTGGCATATGTGCATCTTGAATTCTGTGTGTAGTCCTGGTTTCTTCCATCTCAACTCAATGTAGTAAAACTGGGAAAGATTTTAGAGGAGGGTGACAGGAATGATGAATAGCATGCAACACCTGTATGAGGATAACTAAATAGACTGAAAGGCAGATGGTTGAGTGGGAATGATAAAAGTCCATAAAATCACAAGTGGCAGAGGGGGAGGATGAATAGAGAGTGATTGTTCACTGTCTCTCCTGCTACCAGAACTAGAGGTTATTAAATGGAATCTGCAGGTGGTGGCTCAAAGCATACAAAATGAGGTGGTCTCCACAGGCGTACAGGTGAGCTATGGCATCGCTCTTCCACAACCCCTTCCCCTGAAAAAAAACCCAACCAACCCACCACCCAAAGAAACAAAAAAAAAATCTCATTAATGTTACAGTTTAGGTGACTTGAAAGTAACTGAACCAGTACTTGAAAGATGAATCCGTTAAAGGCTGCTAAATATAGAGGCAGCATCTCTGGCTTAGAAAATCCTTTTGAGCCATGAATCGCTGGACACTACAAAGAAAACTGGCAGAGAATCCCTGTGTGCTTGTCTGGTCTTTACTTACCTCCCTGGGCATGTGCTATTTGCTAGTAAAGGTAGAAAATAGAAGTTAAAAATAATTATGTTCTCTAATGCCGAGACCACATGTTGCTCCTGCATGTTTCTTTTGCACAACTGTTTACTTTGGTTGTAAATTGTGTTTTAGGGGATTTCAGAAAACATTCGTGTCTCAGATTAATTTCTCAGAGAATGTCAGTATTATTTCTGGAAACCGCGTTGTTGCAAAACACTCCTTGGCAGTAAGATTGAGGAGACAAGCCGATTGCTGTACAGCAAGGAGTCCAGCACCACTTTGGAAGTTCAAATCATGGTCTAACTGATCTCACAGCACTGTAAATGTCTCACAGAGAATGCTGTTTATACAGTCACATACCCACATTGGTAAGCACATAATTGTTGTGTTTTCAAACAAACACCTCTTAAATGAGTTTTCTTTTGTTGCAGACTGTGTCCAGGTAAGAAGCTTTGATAGGTATTGGTTTTGAAAAAGTGAATTACGGTATTCCTTAAAAATGTCAGGTTATCAATGTTGCCGTCTAAAAACTTGTTTTATTGCAGATTTGGTGCTGAAAATCTTTTCTTTGTCACCAATCTAATACATGTGTCTGGTATGGAGTTACAAAAATGCTTGAGATATGGTATTTTTATTCCACAGAAAGTGAATTATTGAAGGAGAAAGGAATTAATATTTTTAAAAAGGTTTTGAGCATGATCTAAATGAAGCTGACCAAAGTCAATACAAGTCTTGGCCATTTGATGAGAAGCTTGAGATAATCTGTTTCACTTGAACTAAAAGTGATGCTAACTTCAAATTTAAAAAAACAAACAAACAAACAAAACAAAAAATAATCTGTTTCACTTGAACTAAAAATGATGCTAACTTCAAATTTAAAAAACAAACAAACAAAACAAAAACCAACCACCAAAAAGCAAAACTGACCTGGACATTGCCTGTGATGTCAGTGCTAAAATTATCCGGACCTGTACTGAAGCCCATGAAATTAATGAACTTCTTGTCAACATTAGAATTAAGAACATGTAATGGATGGCATGGGTAGACTTGATATTTGCTCTAGACCTGTTCTTGTTATCTCATACCTTTTCATTTCACAAATGTGCATGGAAATAAGAAGCCACATGATCTAGATTATGCTCAACACTAAAATTAGTTGAAAACAGTGCTTTGTAAAGAATTAAGTTGCCTGACTATTGTATTTTCCAGCTGACAACAGAAAGCGTTACTTCTGTGTTTGTCTCTTCATTCAGAATTCCCAAATCTTACAGCCTGGTACCTCTTGCAGTGTTTGACACTGAAATTCTGCAGCTTGTTTAAGATAGCCTTCAATAGTATTGTCTGACTATGGTCTGATGTGGTAAGACACCATGAGGTAGATGTGCCTTTGACATAACTAAAG